GACCCCCGACGCGCGCGCGCTCTCGTTACCTGCCCCCAATGTGCTCACAAAGCAGCAGCGGCCGCGGCGGCGCCCTCCCCTCTCACGTGACGATCTCCCCGCCTCCTTCTCCTCCAGCCTCGGCGGACCCCTCCCCCCTCCGAGCCCATTTTCCCCTCCCAAGCCCCCCCCCCCTTCGCCACGTGACGAAGGACGCCAACGGCAGAGAACGCGAGAGAGAAAGAGAGGCCGGGCCCCGCCCCGCCTCGCCGACGCGCCCGCTCTCTCGACGACGCATGCGCGTCGCGGTGACGCTCTCTTTCCCCCCCTCCACCTTTGCCACGTGATACTTGCCGAAGGGAAGGGAGGCGGGGAGAGCCGCGTTCGCACCTGAGCGCGGAGGGAGGGAGGGGGAGGCGCGAGCTCTCACGTGACCCGGCGGCGCTCTCACGAGGGGAAGGGGAGGCGGGGCCAGGAGCGTGAGCGTGGACACGCAGAAGAGGCGGGGCCAAGAGAGGATAGGCGGAGGGCGGGCGGCTCCTGCCATTGGTGGCTTTGGGTCGGGTGGGCGCGGCGACTCTCGTTTGGGTTCCTTCCCCTTAGCGCGGAGGCCGATTCTCTAGTGGGAGTGGGTTGTTGTTTTTTTGCGCACTCCCTTTTAAAAACTTTTACGTTAAAAAGGTTTTGCAAAAGCTTTTTTTGTTTGTTTCTTTCGGACGGACGAAGAATGTCGTTGTGACAAATGTGAGCAGAAGACCTGATAAGCTAACGAGCTCTTGTTGTTCACTCGCACAGTCGAGTCCGACTCTTCGCCACCCCGCGGACCACAGCAGGCCAGCCCCTAGAACGATCTAAGCCCCTTTGGGTCCCGGTGAGGAGAAAGCAGAGTATAATCAGACTAAAATTTAAACATAAGAACATAAGAAAAGCCCGTGTTCGATCAGGCCAATACTCTGTGTCACACAGTGGCCAAAATACCAGGGGCCATCAGGAGGTCCAGCAGTGGGGCCAGGACACTAGAAGCCCTCCCACTGTTGCCCCCCCCCAAGCACCAAGAAGACAGAGCATCCCTTGCCCCAGACCGAGAGCTCCTATCTATACCTTGTGGCTAAGAGCCACTGAGGGACCTCTGCTCCATATGCTTATCTAATTCCCTCTTATAAGAACATAAGAGAAGCCCATGTTGGATCAGGCCAACACTCTGTGTCACACAGTGGCCAAAAATACCAGGTGACATCAGGAGGTCCACCAGTCAGGCCAGGGCACTAGAAGCCTCCCCTCACTGTTGCCTCCCCCCAGCACCAAGAATACAGAGCATCCCTTGCCCCAGACCGAAAGTTCCTATCTATACCGGAATTCACTGCCACAGGAAGTGGTGGCGGCTACAAGCATGGACGGCTTCAAGAGGGAATTAGATAAGCACATGGAGCAGAGGTCCATCAGTGGGGATGTACTATTGCAATATTGGGGGAGCCAGAACGACCGCTCGCCCATCACACCCGAGAGGTGGAATTTGCCCCTAGGACTCCAAGACCACCACCCCCGGGGCTCAGAGTGGCGGGGGAACGTTTCGCCCCCCTCCCCCCCTCTGCTGCTCCTGCCACTGCCATCGGCCATAACTCCCCCCCCCATATTTATTTTCATTTTTCCATAAAATATACAACATTTTGCCTAATTATTCCTACATACATTGGAGTCTAAAATCCTCACATTGAATTGATCCATTCATACAGATGCTTCCATCTTTCCACAAAAACATTATCATCTTTACCTTGAAGTATAAGACTTAATTTATCCATCTCTGCCATTTCTAGTAATCTACATGCTAATTCTTCTCGTGTAGGAATATGTTCTTGTTTCCAAAATCTAGCTAATAAAATTCTAGCAGTCTATAAATTATCATATATCTGTCCATTTATAATTTTCTGGTATCATGTTTAACAGGACAATTTCAGGTAACGACTCAATTTTGATATTTGTTATTTCTATAATAATTTTCTGTATCATCTTCCAATATCAACACACCTTTTCACAACGCCACCACATATGGAAAAACGATCCAACGTTATTTTTACATTTCCAACAGTTCTTTGATAGCTGTGAGTTGCATTTGGCTATCTTATCTGGTAACCAATACCACCGATGGTAGATTTTATATATGTTTTCCTTATAATTGGTGCTTCTCATATACTTCACCGATTACTTTGGAGCCGGAATTCAAACCTTTTCGGGCGTGCCAAAATGAACTGTCGGTGTCCAAAGGGTGTTTGTTGTGGGGTAACCGGGTGGTGGTGCCTCACAAACTCCGGAAAAAAAGTGCTGAATTCACTACATGAGGGCCATCCAGGCATGGTCCACATGAAGGCGTTGACCCGAGGGTATTTGTGGTGGCCCGGTTTAGACGCCGACATCAAGGAATGGGTCCGAGTATGTATGCCCTGCTAGCAGGCAAGGCCCGAACCGCCTTCCGCCACTCTGCAGAAGTGGGAATCTGCGGGAAAGCCTAGGTACAGGCTTCACCTGGATTTCTTGGGGCCTGTGCAGGGACAAATGTTCCTGATTATCGTTGATGCGTACTCTAAGTGGTTGGAGGTTGCGTACATGTCCTCCACCACTTCGACTGCCATCATCAACGTGCTGCATCGCTTGTTCGCCACCCACGGACTGCCGGACGTGTTGGTGAGTGACAACGGCGCATAATTTGTCTCTCAGGAGTTCAGTCAGTTCCTGTCTGATAACGGCATCAGGCAACTGACATCAGCCCCATTCCACCCGGCCTCTAACGGCCAGGCGGAAAGAATGGTCCGAACGACCAAAGAAGCCCTTGCTAAGCTCACGCAGGGCGATTGGGGGTAAAACTGGCCTCGTTCTTGCTTCGCCAGTACGTTACCCCGTGCTCAGCCACAGGCCGCAGCCCGGCCGAGCTGCTGATGGGGCATCGCCTTACAACATTGTTTGATCGTCTCCATCCAGATCTGAACGACCTTAAGCCCCAGCAGCAGAGTGCGCTCCCTAAGGTCCGCACTTACGAACCCGGTGACAAAGTGTTCAGCCAAAACTATTGAGGGGGTCACTCGTGGCTACCAGACACTGTAATTGAACAGCATGGTTCCAGGATGTATGTGGTCGAACTTGCTGATGGTCGCAAGTGGCGATGCCACATAGACCAGCTGAGGCAGCGTTGGGCACAGGAGCGCCTAAACTCCCCGCCGGCTGAGTCCCCAGAACTCGAGAGCCTTCCCCGACCTCCTCCGGAGGTGAGTACTGAGAAAGCCAGTACTGTCCCAGTGGAAGGGCAGACCCCTAGCTGTGGACCCGCAACAATGGACGGAAGTGTTCCTGACTCTGAGGTCCCAGAGTCAAGCAGAGTCCCCCAAGCTGAGCTGTGCCCTGAGCCTACTCAGCTACGTAGGTCTCAGCGGGTGCGCCAAGCACCAACCAACCTAAGCAATTATGATTGTACGTGATTGTGTTTGCTTAGGGGGGAGGAATTTGTAATGTATTCAAAGCTGCCTTGAATGCAATGTGTGAAACATCTAATTGAAATGTAATGTTGAGCTTCATCCTGGGCTAGAATCCAAAGTCATCCAATAGTATTGCTAGTCCAGGAAGTGACAAACCAATCACTTCAAGCAAGCTCCCTGAGTGGGAACGAATGTGATTGGACCTTATCTCGGCAACCTCATAGGTTGATATGTGTACAGTGGGTGTGGCTATATTAGCCGGGAATGTTTAAAAGCAGGACAGCTGCAATGTAAAGGCTGTTCTGGCTATCAGATGTTGATCCGTGTTGGAGTTGTGTTCAAGTTGAAGAATAAAGTTGTGTTCTTGCTGAATCACTCTCCGACTGTTTGTTAAGCGAGCGACTTAACAGTGTCGTATCCTCAAACCCTATTATCGCATCTTTAGAATACCTAGATTGTAGTTGTGTTGTTTCCCACCAGGTCAGCTTAATCTTATATAGGGATAGCAAACTTTCCTTAGATTTTAACTTGTTGTTCTTATCCAATAAGGTGTCATAACTTTCTCTATCGCATGTGTTAAGGGAAGGTTTAATAAATGCTTCCAGTGGTGACACCCATCTTGGTGTCCTAGTATATTGTCGCTCTTTGATTTCATTCCATACCCACACTAGAGCACCTCTTATGCTATGATGTCTAAAATTATAATGTATTTTATCTTTCCCATACCACACGCACGCGTGCCATCCCATATTTAAATCATGTCCTTCTAGTTTTAGACTTCTAATATTATCAAAACAAATCCAATGTTTTAACCAACTTAGGGCTGCTGCCTGATAATATAGCTTCCAATCTGGTAATCCAAATCCTCCCCTTTCCTTCCTATCCTGTAAGGTTTTGCACTTAATTCTTGCTCGTTTAGGGTACCAACAATTTTTTTTTATAATTTTATCCATTTCAATGAAGAATTGCGAGTTTTTTAGAACCGGTATATTTTGGGCTAGAAACAGGAATTTCGGTAGTATGTTCATTTTGATGGTCGCTATTCTTCCCATTAGAGAAAGCTGTATATCTTTCCAATGTTGTAGATCTATTTTAATTTCTTCAGGTAGCTTATTGTAGTTATCTTGTATCAATGTACTATTTTTATTTGATAGTAATTGATATGAATATTCCTAAATATTGATTTTGTTCCACAATCTTCACTTCTGTCAACTTTTGAATTTCTTTTATCATAGGTGGGCAATTTTTTGTTATTATTTTTTTTTCAAATTAATTTTTAAACCTGCTATATCACCAAATTCTTGAACTGTTTTCAACAGATGTTGTTGTTGTTCAGTCGCACAGTCGAGTCCGACTCTTCGCGACCCCATGGACAATCTCCCGCCAGGCTCTCCTGTCTTCCGCCGTCCTCCGAAGTTGGCTCAATTTCATGTTCGTTGCATCGCTGACACTGTCTAACCATCTCATCCTTTGCCGTCCCCGTCTTCTTTGACCTTCAATCTTTCCCAGCATCAGGGTCTTTTCCAGTGAGTGCTCCCTTCTCATTTGGTGGCCAAATATCCAATATTCAACAGATGAGTGACTGTCAATAAAGGATCTTCCATTCTGAAAGCAATGTAATCCGCATATGCCAATAACTTAAATTCTTCTCCTTGCACCCTAAGGCCTTGTATTTGTTGGTTTCTTCTTATTATATC